TTTTTCCAAAAGATGCCAAAAAAAAGCGGAAGGGGGGGGCGGGGGAGTATGTATATCAAGATTGTTTTGATAAGAGGAAATGCAAAGAGAGGGAATTGGGCGAAGCTGCGGGCAGAACTTCACGACCAGGGACCATACATTACCCTACTCCAAAATCGTATCACTGACTGTATTGGGGGAAAACTAGTTAATTGTTTTGAGGATGTTTTGGAGAAATAGATGGCATTTTAAAACTGGAAAATACTTTGTATAATACTCTGTATAATGATGACTAAAAGGCCAATCCCAGTTTCACGACACTGGAGTTGATAAATAAAAACTAGAAAGGAGGAAGTTACTTGCTGAACAAATAACAGAAATCAATTGATTGAAGATATAGAAGCAAATTTGGCCAGATATGAATTTTGGAGACTAGATGATGATGAATAACAATATTAGGTGTTTTCCTTGGAGGCACATATATGGGAATATCAAATATGTATGAACTATAAGAGTGCTTAGGCTTACAATGATGAAGAGTCAGATGGATGGTATGCAGATGAGGGAATTTATAATACCTTTTTTATAGAATTAGGATGTTTAGACACTCTATTAGATATATAAAATAGGGATGTGGAATATAGAATGTGCAGATGCACATGGATATATTATTTCTGTAGTCAGAAGTTTATACAATAGTTAAGCTGTTATGGGAAATGCCTCCCCACTGTATGTTTTGTTAGTCCTGTATGTTTTGTTAGTTTCTTTGTGCCATTGATTTGTAGGTACCTCTAGTTTGTTATTTTGTTCCTTTTTTGTATTTGTCTTTGTAGGTATGTATGTCATAAAAAATAATAAAATGTTTTAAAAAAAAGCTACCAACATGAATTTGACCCAAGTCCGGGAGGCAGTGGAAGACAGGAGGGCCTGGCGTGCTCTGGTCCGACTCACAAAGAGTTGGACACGACTTAACAACTAAACAACAACTTTCTAAATGGGTACTTGAACCTTAGTTTAGATTATGGATTTTAAAAAATGCTATAGAGATCAAATGTATCATTCTGCAAAGTAGAAAAAAATTTATCCGAAAAGTCAGTTTTACCATACATCAAAACAGATCAGGCTTTTAGATCTACCTGTCACAGAGCACATTAAGATGTCATTTGGAAACACCTGAGTAGGTCTTTGTATCAAACCCAGTGTAATCCTCTGCAGCTTCTACATTTTAGTTATGCCTAATCTTCACTCACCACCACCCTGTTTCTTAACCACAAGTTGTAAATGAATTTTATAAATCCTCCCTTCTGCTCCTCTTTCCCCATTATTTCCTTATTTGGTATTGTGTTTGTATGCCTGGTATGAAATTTATAATAGACATGATGAAGGGTAAAAATGCAAGGGAAGAATGAAAGGTTATAATGGTATTTATTCTCACTATGTAGCAACTTTTTAAAAAATTAATAAACTGCATAACAACATGAAAAATGATTCAAGTCACTAGTAGACATAAAGGATAGCAATTGATTAGTAAAAAATAAATGAAGTCTTATGACTATCTTTCTGACAAAATGGTGTTTTTTTTTGTAAACTTGATCCAGGGATATTAGGCAAAAAAAAAGACATACATTGTAGCACCTTAGACTAACCATTATATTTTAATATGAGTTTTCATGGATCAAATCCACTCCCTCAGACATAAGAGTGAGATTACATGGCAATATTTTATACATTTATACATGGCACCAAAATAAATGTAAGTTTCAAATTGTGTGAGTCATTGTATTTCACACCAGTTAATGACTTTTGTTTGATATTCTGATCTTTTCCACTGAAACTTTGTACTGTAAAGGTGGTTAATGAAATCCTTGGCATAGAATATCAATAGCAGAAACAATATGATTGTTAATTGTACATGGCCGGAATTAAGGAGACTTGCATTTTAAATCTGGTAATGACATAAGACCTCTGTTCGATATTCAGTTCCTTTCTAGGAGGTTCTGTAAACAGTGACAGTAGTGGATGAATTACCCCAGGCAATAGACTACAGCAAGAACAACATGGTAATAAGTTAAGAATCTATGATTACCTTTGACGTTTTTAAGGTGGATCTGGTACTTGGGACAGAAATACAGCTGGGAGACACAGCAGGTGCAGTACAATTACTGTAGTTTTATATTTGGTAGTGCCCCAAGAAACCTTGGCTGATACTGAATTCACTGAAATGGGTGCCAGCATGTGTATCAGAAGTCTAGTATATATGTAGATCAAATATCTATTAGACATATTTTCTATCACCATCATTATGTCGTCTCATTATTCAAAGAAAGCCAACACCACCATCAGTTGTGGCCCATGCACAAGAGTTTATTGTGCACTCCTTTTTATAAAATATTTGGATGGTTAAAATAATGCATGAAATTGTTAAGAGTAGACAGGGTTGCATACAAATTGTACTTCGTGGTCAACAGATGAAATCCATTGGCATAATCTTAAATTGTTTCCTATGGGATGAAAAAGGATAAGGAAAATATCAAGTGAATTCCAGCAAAGGTGCAGATGAAAGTGGCACTTCTTGTTAAATCAGCACCTGATATCAGTTTTTATTTAGACCATTCCAGGAGCTGTTGAAAACTAAACTTGCTTCTTGATCTTATATTTCTGCTACCAGCTTAATTCCCAGATTAATGAAGCAATTTATGTACGCACAAAATTTCCTTTCCTTTCCTTCCCTTTCCCTTCCTTTCTACAGAATAAAAAGAACATACCTGTACCCACTCAGTCCAATAATTATTAGCTATTTAAGCAACTTTAATACAATGCATTAAAATATCCGTAACAGCTGCATAGGCTATACATCGTCCTTCCTGTACAATTTAAATCCATATATTAAATATTTGCAAAATGAAAACATGCATACACAAAATACAAAGCCAAGCTTTACAGATTTGATATGAATTAAATTTACTATACACACAATGTACAAAGTTCATTTAGAAGTAACTTAAAATTAACTATGCTTATACTGCTACACTTCTTTAAACATTCAAGTGTGGGAAAAGTCTCAGAAAGCTGGACAAAAGAAATTCTACATTAAAATATTTTCAAAAGTTATGTTCAAGTAATAAACATTTCTATATAGACATTTCCTGATAAGTTTTAACTAAAATATGTTGAACATTATACAGAAGTAGCAACATTACACCTGATACCAGCATTTAACGTAGTCACTAAGATTTTTGGCATTTCCCTCATATATTTAAAACATTTGTCTGCAGCCTCAGATTCTATTATAAGACCACTGTAAAACAGACCATTGTAAAACTTACTCATTTCAAGACAGTTCATAAGACCATTAAATAAATAGGGGCACATCTGAAGGTCTGAATGAAAACTAAAAACAAAAATACTGCCACCTAAGTCTACTCTGAAGAAACAATCCCATTCTGTAAACGTAAGAAGTGTTGACAATGATTTAGAAAAAGAAAAAGGTTACATGCTAGCCTACACTGATAACAACTGGATCTTGTCTCTGTAGCTCTCTACATATACCAGCTTTGACAACACACTATTTATATCCAAGTTATCATTTTCAGGAGCATGATCCTTATCTCCAAAGCATTCTGGCTTCTCTTCTTGTAAGATCAGGCAATGTTTTTGCTTTGCTTGGAGAACGTGGCTCTTTCTGGGATGTTTTGGCTATTGTCCTATCAAGAAGCAGTCCTGTAGGAATTCTCAGGCAAGACAAAAATTAAGAAAGCAAATGTGGCGGTCACTGTGCATTGTTCCTGCCAGTCCCATTGTTTCCATTGGCATTTGTTGTATTCACACAATTAATGCTACCTTGCTGAAGGGCATCTTTCCTTGGTGGCATTCTCTCATTGATCCTATCCAGACCTTTTGCCTCTTCAAAACTGCAGATTTTATGTTGCGGAGAGAATCCTCGTATTGCTTAACAAAATGCAAATTTGACAAGTCAGTAACAGGAAGAAATGTTGGACATTCTAAGTAACTTCTAATAACTAAATTTAAAACAATAGATTTTAGAAGACCAGTAAGTTAAATTGAATACTATGTTATGTCATTACTCTCGTCTTTCTAAAGTCCTCTAGGGAGCCCTCAGGTAGAAACGGATGTACAGGTGGCTCACGCTCACCTTTGCTAACTTTTCTTCTACACTATACAAGTTAATAGAATGCTACTATTAATAGCAATTGCAGTACAGACTCACTTGGCTGCTGCTGGGCATTCCTAAGCAGTCAAATAATGAGAAGACAAACATCATAATCAAAATCTAGAGCTGAGAGAATGCAATATATATGGCCATTAAAAACATAGAAATAACTAAAACAGTTTCAAATGTCACTCAGGAACCATGATTTTTAAACCAGGAGAATGGCTAAGCTTTTAGACACATAAGTAGCAGGCAAGAGCCCATTTTGTTATCAACACTGCTAAGGAAGCTCTTCAGTTTTGCAGAAAAATAGGATATATTATTCATACAACAACAAAAGCTATCAAGCTGGGGAAATTGCAAAGCTAGCACCATGTCACACCACCAATGTGTTCTTTGAAACAGCAATCTCATCTTCTATGGTTATGTAACACTTGAGTAGCAATCTTTAAAAGTATCATTCTAGTCTCTATGTGCTTATGGCCTGGTCACCCAAGCAAGTTTCTCTGAAGATTTTTAAAGAGGCAGCTGGATGGATTAGTCATGGTTAGGTATAGTTCAGTTTTTCAGATTGCTTCATATTACACAACAACTGTTGAAAGAAACTCTGTATAGTGTACTTAACAGAATATACAATGTGAAACTCAATACAATAAACATACTGTATTGTGTCTTTCTAATATAAAGAATATAGTTATTTATAACTCCACCATCAAGTAATATATAATAGTTCAGAACATCTGTAAAGTATTGTATACATATCAATTCGTATATACTACTACATACTACACATTAAGAATCCAAGGTTAACAATAAAGCATACATGGTGTTTTAATATATCAAGTGTTCATGTTTAGTTCCTGATAAAGCTTGAAATAACGGCAGTCTCAATGAGCTCCAAGCTTCTTATTTTCCACGTGGCACCTCACTCGTTCCACGGCCTTTATCAAGACTCTGTCCAGTGTGCAAAAAAATATCTGGAACTAAAATACACTACTAACATTTTTTATAAAACTTTGGATTCCTAATTTGTAGTATGTGGTAGTATACTGTATACATATTGATATGTATACAATACTTTACAGATGTTCTGAACTATTTGTTATATATTACTTGATGGTGGAGTTATAAATAATTACTTTCTTAATATGAGACACAATACATTTACTGCATTAAGTTTCACATTGTTGTATATTCTGTTAAGTACATTACACAGTTTCTTTCAACAGTTGTAGTTTTAGTCCTTCCTCTCTGTTACATCATATTACAGAACAAGCAGGTATACATTTAACCAGTAGCACACACTACTACTTTGCAGATGAGTCTACACAAGTTACTGTACTATAACATTCTACAGTGGCTCCTGCTCACACATGGGCTTCTGTTGCTAGTAATACCTCTATGGTTCTGAAAAACAGTAAGACAAATTTGAATCTCCTCTTTGAATTTTTATTGACTGATGGCCTGGGAGCAATTTTTGCCACCAGTGATAAGGCCAGCGGCTCCTGAAAAGACCATCTCCCTATTTTTCCACATAATATAATACAGTGTATGTGCCTTTTTTCCCCACCTACTCCCCCCGGCCACATCATGAAACATAATTTGAGGACCTACAGTCAGAGTGCCTAATACATCCTGCCATAAAATACATATAATTCAATGTATGTGTAGCAGGACAGAAGCAAGAATTTCAAACACATTGCTTGTTGTAATGTGTGAAGCCACTGTAAGATTTCTAATATACCTGATAATGACTTTCCATTCTCACTTCAAAAATTGTTCTTGGGCACAACCCCTCTTTGGCAAATGGCTCTGGAGACATGAAGCAAGTTGCCCAGGAGCCTCCCTTTTAGGAACTATTGCATGACACTAGATTTGGGAGGTTCTTTTCCAATTTTTTCTTTCAAACAGAGAGAAGCCAGTGGCATAGGAAAGAAGACTTAGCTTCGGTTCCTCCAAAATGGTCCTCCAATATAACCAAACTGTGCTAAGGCATCTTCCTTCTATTTAATTATTCGCTAGTTGACAGGGTTTGCTTACAGTGACTAAAATCCTGTTTCTTTGCGCTAGAGTAGGCTCTCTGAATCAGTGGGGATTTGGTTAGGCAACTCCTCCATAAGTTCTACTGATTACTATTCTAAGCAACCAGATTTCAACCAATACATGAAGTAGAACAGAACTCTTGTTTGCCCTTGTACATTCTAGGGTGCAGACCCCATGTTCATCTCTCTGTGGCTGTTGTACCTGCTCTGAGGTCACAGAAGACAAGGGTTGCCTTTATCTTGCATATCTTCTGACACAGCATCTATGCTATCATAGCTGCAGCTTCAGCTTTTTGGCTTAATTGGTAGTGGTAATGGGAAATAATTTGATTATAAATCAAGGTTCCAAGAGCTACTCCAAGAAACCTAATTATGGAAGCACTGCCTAAACACTGTAGGTTTTTGAGTCATAGCTCTGTGCAATGCTACAGTAGGATCTCTTAATAAATGTTTGCTGGCCATAAGGTAAGGAAAAGTAAGATAAACTCCTGATCATAATGTAAATTAAATCAAAATCAAAGTGTATTTATGACTGTTACTCTGCAAATAATACATTGTTTTAGAGCTACAGTAAAAGGAGAATACTGTGTACAGCATCTGAGAAGTACTGGAAGATCAATGTTTGGATGGACAGAATCCAAGGAAGCATTTTATACACCCAAGGACACTACAACAGACTGTACCCACAACACGTAATAATCTACTTTTGCTACTGAGCACAGTTGAAAAAGTACTTGGCGTGGTGTGGCAGCCTGATGTTTCAAAGTAAAAAGCTTCTGACTCAGGCAACCCTGTCCCTGGAGATGTTTAAGAAACTATTTCGATAAGCCAATGATGATTTTTTTTTTTTACTTTGCCAGGCCCTGAGTATGTAACAAATACAGCACAAATCAAGACTCCACTTAATAAAAAGGAACAGTTCACTATTCAATAATAATAACTCTTTGCACTACCAGATATTATGGAAAGTAATGAAAAGGCACATGTCCCAATCCAGACACCCGAGCCAGCAAATCTCTGTGCTTAGTGGAAGGGACAGGGGGCTTGCATTACTTCCTCGTTGCCTTATGTGACCATGCCTTGAACCTGCTCCTGAAACACAGGGTAAAGAAGATTTGCTGATAAGCCATTGTCAAGCATATTAGAAAGTCTGCTTTGTGTCTTCAAGCTCATGCACATGCTTGAATGGAGCCTGATGGATTTGTGACATGTAAAAGCCATTATGATCATCAAAAGTATGCAAAACAACAACAATGTGTAAGCACAATATGCTATTATACTGACAAAGAAAAACCTATTTTTCACAGCTCAAAGATGAAAAATGTATACAGTAAACACACATCATGACAAAGTAAAATGTTGCATGTAACAAATGAATCAGTGTTGATTCATCTTAGGTTGTGCAAGTTGAAACTAAGAACATGACCCACAGAGCTAACTGTGCAATTCCCTCCCAGACACCGCTGTTCCCGGCCAGTAGCAAAGTCACTGAGACCATACCTTTTTCAGCCTCAATTGCCTCTACTGTGGCTGTACAGAAGTGAGTAGATGCATGCAAAATGAACAAGAAAGATGAAGAGTGTAATATCACATAGCAGAAAAAGTTTTATTACTAGCTTGTTTTATGAAGTTGTTTTAAAATTAAATTAATTTCTTGTGCTTTTTTGGCTTTATGATTATCATGAAATAAATTTTAGTTAAGACAATCTCTCAACAGCATGGTAAAAACTTTAGAGCACAGTACTATACTATTTGTTGGAGTTTACCTATGTTGTTGTACTTCATGTTACCAAAACTGATAGTTTAAGAAAGAAAAGTTTCTTATTCTCATCAACGTGATCACCACCATAAGTAATTGCTTGTTTACATACAACGATGATGAAATACCAAAATGTAACCATTTTACATACAAGCTATAAAGACACAATTTTATGTTTATAGTTTGGTTGCAGCTGGTTAATGGGAAATGGCCAAAATCACAAGATTTTTAGATGGGGCAAAAGGAGTGGTCAATTTTAATGAATAAAGATTTGAAGATAGCAGATTTCTTAAAGAAACTGGAGTATAACATCCCCTTAAAAAGCTCACCCACTGAGCCATTTCTCTCTTGTGAATTATATGTGTAAGTTGGACCATCACAGCTTCATTTCTTTTTAATCAAATGTTCTGTCAACTAAATATTTACCCCACATTCTTGGTTAAGAAGAAATATTTAGAATTTCAGAGACCAGCATAACCCACAGAAGAATAAACATATACAAACGTTACCACTGTTTATTCATTTCTAGAAGAAGGGGTTTGAAGAGAATATCCCTCTTCTTTTTTTCTATATTATCAGTAGCATGGAAGCTTAAAATAAGGCTGCTTTATATTTTGTATACTTAGAAAACTTTTAATTTGTATTTTCCTTTATGAATATGTTTGAACAATACAAACAAAATTTTAAAAGAATGAAAGTACGAAGTCTGAGGTTTTCCATGTGAGAACTCACAACAAAACTAAATAAATTATAAATGTAGTATTCAGAATGTAAGAAAACTCTCACAAATGCTTAGAAAGCTAAGATCTTGCCAGGGATGGATTAATTAGAGCAGTTATATTTAAGGGACTCTCTTTTGATTAGATATCCTATCCAAAATAGCTGCAGAAAGAAAGAACTTGGCATGTTCTTCAGATTTACCTTTAAAAATGCTTATTTTCCAATAGTATTTCACAGGGGGAACACATCTGATATACTAGACATCTCGTTATTGTTTGGAAAACAAGGAGATGTATACCAGATAATTATCCAAGGCAAATTTAAGTTCATGGTATTATGAACTATGCAAGAGAGCATAGTTATCTTGGCCAAAGAGAGAACGATACTCCTCTCTATCAATATCTCTTCTATGAGGAATTAGGGGCATGCACTTTATATTTTCTTTATTTTTTTTCATCCATCCTTCTATTGCACTCTCAGTTGTCACAAAGATTTAATGTAAGGGAACAGTCAATACAAAATATATTTTAAGAGTTCCCTCAGTATGGTAACTATAGCCTGTCCTAGACGATCACCAGCACATATACAGTGAAACTGGGCAGAGTACTTGTGACATAAGCAAAATGTCACAGAGTAAGCCATAATGTTAATCTCTTGCATGCAGAGCCTGTTATCATGTTACCAGGGTATTATCATACATCATAATCAGACCTATCCATGCATTGATAGATCATTTTGCATTGTATGAAAGCAAAAACACGTATCTATTGCAATAGGATAAATTTAACAGCAAATGTAGGGCAAACTAAATTAGATCAGGCAAGGCTAGTCCACAAATCCTGTTGCTTAGCAAGAATCTAAAATAAAAGTCATCAAATAAATGGGATTTCCATGAATATTCACTTAACAAGTCTAATTCTTTCAGTGGATCTATTCTAGCTGGGACTAACAACTGGATTTAGTTCACCATTTTAGAATACTGTATGTCATTTCTCAGATGGAACGCACAAACAACAACATCACTCTCTATGATAAATGTATCCTCTATAAGAAATGGGGAAAAATAATACTGTTTTATACCTCAATGGCATCTTATTACCATAATTGTTCTTCTTCTGCAGTTTAAAGGATTATTTACTCAATCACCATGAAAATGCAAGTTAATATGATGAATCTAACCTATGGGACTAAATGCAGTTGTTATTCCCAACAAGCATGGACCCACTGACTCAATGGGATTTTTAAAAGACAACACTCGCAGAAGTCCCACTGATTCAATAAACAAACTCTGGTTGGGGAATTAACAATAGCAGATAATTATGAAGAAGTTTTAGACTGGCAGTTTGACATATCAAGTTAATAATCATATTCTTTGGCCCTAACATATCAAGTTAATAATCATAATCTTTGGCCTCTGTATTGTTACTATTTTGTAAATTATACAGATATGGATGTTTCAAAATGTATGTATAAATTGTAAACTGTAAGCAGTCTGCTAATGTCCAAAATCCTGTTGCTTAGTGTAGTAAATCACACTAGAGTAAGTCCACTAAATCAATGGGGACTTCGTGAGTCCTCTGTAAGTTTCATTGATTCAAATGAGTGTATTCTAAATTAAGACTTTCCATGCTAAATTAAGCAACATGATTTTGGTCAGTGTGTCATTGTTGTATCAAGGTTGTACTGAGAAAGATTAGGGAACATCTCAAGATGACCCCAGCACAACTGAATGAAATGAAACTTATTTCAGTTTCTTCACAAATACCCAGCCCCAAGGGCCACAACATCAAATTGTTTATGAAGGAATTGGTCATCTAGGAATAAATGGGACTATCTGGAAAAATTCTGCTTCACAATAAAACTGTATTGAGATATCATGATAAACTAATTTTTATTGTTATACAAATATGTTTCGGTAAGCACTGAGACTGCACATTTCCTCTGTCCTTACAGGTGCCAAGGCAGAGATGGTAAATATTTACTACCATTTTTAATTATTTACATTAGATAATGTGGCTTTTCAAGTCAAAAAAAAAATCTGGAAATTAAGTTACAAATTTAAAAAGCTCACCTTCAAACATCTTACTACCATGAAGGATGCAAGACAAACTATCACTAAGTGCGTAAGATGATTAAATCCTGAGCAACAACAGCAGCACAAAGGATTGTGCAATGACTGAACAGAAGGCTGCCATTGTGATTACAGTACTAGTCATATATCTTATTCTAAGCATGTACTGACTGCAACTGATATGATTCAGTTTGCTTCAGGTCAGGTACAAACAAGAGTGAACAGCATAATTAGGCTCAGTAAAACTCACCTATAGCTCTTCTCAAAAACCAAAACACAAAACAAAAATATTGTGATGTACTATTTCATCTAATATACATTATTCTGAAAAATTAATTTAACTAAAGTACAGGAATGTTAGACTATGAGGTGTTGGGTGTCCACTTCCAGCCACTGCATGTTTAAGATATAACCATCTTTTTTTTAAAGGATAAAGACAATAGTGCTCCATATGAAGTTATCTGATGGATCTCAATGACAACTTTAGTTCTAGACAACAGCTTGGTACTGTTTCTAAAGAAGGCAAAACAACACCTACATGATGGTTTTGACTATTTCTTGAATTCACACTTATTGCCACCATATCCCTGTTATGAGTGATAAAGATTTGTGTGTATAATGTTATTAACGCTATCAGCATGATACCCAGGTAGGTAATCTTAGAAATAGCCTAAAATGCTATTGTATTTTAGAACATTGATTTGTTATAACTTTGTCCTTTGAGGCTCCCTCTGACAGTGAAAATAAGTATTAAAGTTCTAAAGTTATGGCCATTGTAAAAACTAAAGTATTGATTTATACCTCTGACAACAAACACCCGTAGGCTTGTTTTCAGATATGTACAAGACATCACTGTAGAGTGTGTTAAAATCTTACGGATTAAGCTCAGATTCGTTACAACCTATGCTCAGAGAAACCCACAATATGTAAACGGGATACTGAATGTAGAAACCAAAAGAAACATAGAGGGTGAGGGTTTGGATAACACAAGTAACATATACACCATTTGCTATTGTAAACATTCACATATCAGATACACATATAAGGACATATAATATTTTAACTTATAGACATTATATGTCCCCTCAAAAGGATAATGAAAATAAAATGTAACTGTCAAAACATTTAAAAAGTTGCTAATTCAAACAAAAGCTGTTATAAACTGAAAATGTAGCAAAAAACTTTCACAATTTTATGTACATTTGAGTTTCTAAAAAGGTGATTATATTAAGTGGCAAAAGTAGCTATTTTTGACAGACAGAAGAAAAATTCAGTAGAGTGACAAAGAACAACAATTAAACTACACTAAAATATTACTGAAACTGCCAAGTATAAACTATCAGCACAAAAAACTATAGGGTCTTCTGTAAAGGACAAGAATGCTATGAAGCTCACTTTCTGTCTTGACATCCCTCACACAAAAGTGAACTCTGTATTCAAAAAGCATTAAAAATAATAATTTCACAATATTCTTCTGGCAACAACGAATCAATAAACTTTTATAAAGTATTCAATGAGCCAGATTACAGGTATGTTGTATATAGTTCTTTTTATTTCCATGCAAAAAAAGCACATTTAAACACCCTTTGATTCTGACTTATTTACAAGATTTTCATTTAGTCCCTTTATTCTCAATGGATTTATAACAGTTTCCAGATATTTTTCAGTTACATTGGCAATCAAAATGCATGGTGTGCAGCAGCAAATGTAGCCAACCTCAAAAACAAGGTGCCACAAAGTTGCTTGAACATAAAGAGAGACACATGTCTGAGATAGTGATTTAATTTTATACACACTTATACAGACGTACAGAGATACCTAGAGAAAGACAGACAGGTTTAAGAAAGCAGCTTCATCTGCAGAGGAAGGAAACAGCAACTTACATGGACAATTCAGGGAGGTCAGTAGTATTACACAGAACATTTGACAAACAACATGAAGGAACAAACTTTGGCATCAATCACCAGGGTACAAAACAAAGCACATTTTGCATCCATTGGAATGCAGAACTACACTTGGAAATATGTGGCTGTAAATATTAACTTCTAAAAGGCAACTGACATTTACTAAACTTATTTAACATCTGCAAGAAAACTGTCTGTAGAGATATTGGATAATATCACATTCCTTATCTGATGCAGCAGAAATGACTGTGATTTTCTTTTTTTTACTTTTTTCTTTTTTTTACCTAATTATTCTACTAATGAAAGCTCAAAGACTGCCAATCTAGCATGACTACAATTATTTGCTTTTTGTTTTATACCCTGGTTAAATACTGATTTTTACATTGCCTGATCCACACATGAAGTTAATGCTTTTTCATCAACCACTAAGACAGGAACTGAAAAGCATAAGAAATTCCCTGCATGCATTGTGTGTGGTGTTAGCGAAGGAGTGAGATGTGCCCCATTCCATCTGAGGCACAGCAAGTTGCATAACATCATTACCACTTTGCAAGGTCTGGCGTCCTCCAGCCAACACGCCACTAGGTAACATTCCAGTGGGAGTCAAACCCTTAAGTGTCAATACACTCTCACTCTCCTCCCTAGATACAAGAGACAAAGAAAAACATATGTTAATATACATAATACATGCTAATATATTTCCACATAAGTCAAGTAGACATATCAGGAAAGAAGGACTTTTTGGCATATTTACTCCAGAGACTTTGATTGTTTGAACAATACATTTCATTTTCATCTCTGGAGAGGTGAGCTGCAAGGGTGGGTTGCTTTGCCAGCCGAGGAAAGAGTGCCAAGGGTACAGAACCAGATGTCTCGGGAAGTGGGGGAAGCAAGAAGGGTTGGTGAGCTACAGATGGGGAAGTTTTCTGCCCAAGGACACCACCACCACCACCACCATAATCATCACCATAATCATCATCCCTTTATTGGCATATTAAAATAAAATAAAATAGAGAACAAATAAATAAAATCTAGTTAGTCAAAGTACACGGAACAGGATACATGAACAAGTGTAAAACCAACAATTAAATGAGACCTAATTAACTAGATTTGGGTAGCATCCTTCTTCTCTGGATAATCCATTTCAAGAAAATTGCCACTTTCTCTGATACGTCAGCATTAACACCTGAAAGAACACACCTTATTTTCTACAGATCTGCCCAACCATCCCTCTTCTTAAGGAATCTCTCCAAGAAAACAGAGCGAAGGTCCTCTGCCTAGTGCCCAAGGACACATAAATGGCCAGTCCTGTACTGCTGCAACACTCGTGTATATAAATAAACCAGAGCAGGAAAAAACCACTGTAAAGCTTAGTGTTGTGTGTTAGAAGTGGAGTCACTACAGATTTGACCAGGTTTTTCTTGATAGCATAGTTTTGGCTAGGACTATAAAAAAAAATACAGACTTCTTACATTTAGAGAGATCACAGAACGGAATGAACCTAAAATTCATCATTCCAGTCCCTGACCTAATAAAGAAATCATGGCTCATGCACGAAATAAGATGTGTACACATTATTTTGGACTAAAGAAGCATCCCAACTGCAGCTCTTCCTAAATATATACCTTATTTTGAACTCCTGCTTGAAATTTAGGACCTGTGTATCATGCTTTATTTCTTACTTCCATTCCAAAGACTTCAGAGCAGCATTTTACCACTGCAAAAAGTCCTGCCTGTTGGGAACTAACAAATGACACCTCAGCAAGCTTCCTTACTAAATAGGCATTAGTTCCTATATTTCAATCCAGCATGCTAGTCATTATGGTTCCCTGTGTACTTAAAAACAGAACTCCTCCAGTGCTAATTCCACTTTCTAATGAATCTGGAATTGTAACAAAGCACCAATGTGTGAGGGTCACAGTGCTTTTCACACAAATACATCCCATTATTTTCTGACCAAATAATAATACTGTGTAATGGAGGGTAAGCAGCATTTCTCCCACATCCTCATGACTACATTCATTAATAATTTCCAACTGGCTTCAGAAAATAAATTATATCTTTTCTCCCCATGTTGTTATGGCCATGAAAATGTACTTCAGAAACCTCCAGCTCATATGTAGAGGTTTGGGCATTTCAGATACTGAAATTCCTACAGCTGCATTTAATTACAAGAGTGGGGACAGTAGTAATTCATATGCTCTTCATATAATTAAATTAAACAAAGCAAGAACATTATTACCTGAGAACAGAGAAGACTCTTGCCATCTTCCCAATCGCACGGATTTTGTTTCTGATTATTTCTTTTCGTGCTGCAGCTGTACCTACTTTCAATGCAATAAGAGACTCTCAAGCTCATGAAAAACATAGGAACTAAATACAAAGCAATCCATGAACAAAGGTCTGAAAACAGAATAGTAATCTTTCCCCCTACAGTGCAGTATTATTAAAGCTATCTAATCACAGGCAAATTGCCTTTTGTATACAGAACAATATTAATCTTCACAAGTGAAAAAACTTCCAACAATTCTCAACACTAAAGGATGAATATTACACCAATCTGAAACATGTCGTTCCACAAGACATGTTGATGTTAAATAATAATTTTGAAGTAGTTTCTGTCATTTACAAGAGTTAATGGATACCTAGTTCTAAATTACATGCAAGAACAGAATTCAAGGCAGTTTTGAGTTGCACAAGCACAATGCAAAAGCTGTTGCCTAGTTAAGGAGAAGAGAAAGATATACCACCGCTTCTGCTTGCACAACTGAAAAAGCCAAATGAATTCTGGCAGTACCCCTTTTTCTGCTGCTAATGTTAGGCTAGATTTACACCCAAGTTCAACAAATGCTAGGAACTACTTGCTGACTGTTTTGTTCTCTGTTTATTCTTTAATGATCTCTGAATCAAGTTAAGAAAACAATCCAACCCAACTGAGAAAAACCAAAGAGTAAATAACAAATGTATGGGACACAGAACAGAATCAGTATCTAAATTATTCAGATAACTGGTAATCTAAATACAATCCACATCAACAAGCTTTTCAAGAACAGAGCAAAATTTCTGCTCTCTTCTATCTCTCCGTACTCCAATATGTTTTATATTCTCCACTGGGCTCACCAAATTTAGCTGCCATTTCTGCGTGGCAATAGTAGCTTTGGGGAAGGAAGCTCAGTTTGCCCCTGAGCACACTGCCTCCCTCCCACCCCAAATGTATGCCCTTGTTCAAGTAGAGTAGAAAACCCTTTTTAAATAGTTTGGAAAAAAGGTAACTGTGGGACAGTTGAACTACACTGCCCATTCTACAGGGCAATTTAGTCTCATTGGGGCCTCCATCCAGCTCATACGCATAGTCTACAGTTATCTCCAATTAGTGAATAAAAACAATAGAAAAAAGTCTATTTATAACCCAAAAAGCTGCTACACAGAGATGAGGTCTCTTCTGCAACTTGTGAAAGTGTTGCACAGAACTTTAGTTTAGTGTGCATCTCAGGACGATGTTGGAGAAGAACTGAACTATAGTTCAGCCCACTGAACTATTGAACTGGGGCTGAATCTGACCAGGCATATCTAGGATTGAGATGCACTTAATAAAGAAATGGCTAATATTGAAGTTACTTCATCAATTGACTTCAATTTTGATTACATGAAATTTCTTACAATAAACACAATGTGTTCTTAATGTATATGAAGCCTTCATATAGTATAAAAATTAGGATAGGATTTTTGGAATTCAAGGATTCCTGGTCTGAACTCCGCAGACTGAATTAAGGGACCAGGTGTCCTCAAACAGGCAGGAGGCTGAGCATCCCCCTCATCTCCATCCATTCCCATGTCACTTCTTCAAAGTTAGATAAGGGCCCTGCTCTGTACTGTGGGAGCTCGAAGGATTTCCTGTGACTCACAAAGATGCACGAGGAAACAAATCCCAGCAGATACTAACTCCTTACAGAGCATATGGAGACAGCCTCTGTTGGTAGTGGTGCAGGAATGGCATGGAGGTGAGGGGGCTGCTCTACCTCCTGCTAGTTTGAGGGCTCCCAGTTCTATAATTTGACCTGCAGGGTTCCCAGTGAATTATGGGTTATGAGTCCCTGAATTCCAAAAGTCCCATCCTTAATAAAAATACATCATAAGTTCAAACTATGCATGAAACCAAACTGGATGATTTTCCCCAATCCCCTTCTTTCCTCAACTCTTTCTCTTTCTACTTCCCAACCAAGGATGGGCAAGATACTTTCTTTCCCAACATTTAAAATGTTTCTGCCTACAGAGCAAATGCTATCATCAGAAAAAGACTGCACTAGAAGCAAATGTATCATTAAAGTTATTTGAACGTGTATATAGATACGAATAGAAGTATTAATTTGAAATTAGCACAATAGAGATGCAAGACTTTTTCATGTAAATGCTAGCTAGAAGAGACCAAAATTACTGTACAAACAGCAACTGGGACATAACTTAGGTCATAATTCATGCACACTATTAAAATATAAAACGATAATGCAAAATCATTAAAAGGTTCGATAACTGAAAGCTTCTTTACACATGCAAAATTAAAAATAATGTGTTAGAAACAGGCAAAATATGAAATTCTACCAAAAGCAAGGAGATAGAAAAAGGGAGGAAACTCATCATGCCCAGAGGGAGAGATGCTGAAAAGTGTTGCAGAAAGACTGGCAATAAAACAAATACTACACATTTATATAAATATAATATATAAATGTGTTCTCTACTTGGATAACCATAACCAAAGAGGTCATACTTCAAAACATTATTACTCTGATTGATTTGTACCTTTTTTATTGCCATATATGAGTCGCTCTTCAGATGGAGAGTTCAGAAAAAAGAAAGTGAATGATGGAAGAAAAGGTGAGTGAGGCAAACTAAAAGGAAGATTTTTTACATTGGCAATGATAATAAAGAATGAAAGTTGAAGAGAAAAAGGAAGGGAGGGAATGGTAAACTGCCACTCTCATAAAATACTGCATACTACTCAGTGCATTATCAGTGTGGGAAACATCTGGGATGTCTTGCACAGTACTCAGCGTGCTTACTGGTGAAATGATAGAAAGTTTAGTCAGGACACAGATCCTATCAGCACTAATACTCAAACAAAAGTGTACTGAGAAGTCAAGAACAAGGAGGACAAGGTACCACAGAAAGTTATTTATTGGATTTTACATTTGATTTGAATAAATAATAACTAAATAAAGAAGAAAAATGTGGAACAGGCTACCACTACATTATCTGTGTCTTGTTATACTATAGCAGCCTTACCAATATGATGTTCTCCATACATTATGGGACTATCATCATCAATGACCACTGACCATATTGGCTAGGCCTAGTTTTCAACCCAAACATCTGGAGTTTACTATTTTGGGAAAGATTTCTAAACAATACAATATCTTAAACTGAAAGAGACTTCTAACGTAAATGCAAATAGATTTAAATGTTCATGTCTTAATAGCTGAGAAACCTTTATATTAAGAAGGCTTCTATATTAAATTTTTAGTATCTGTAATAAAAAAGATATCCTTAGTTTCCATCTTCTTGAAGAAAAAATGAAAATAAATTACAGTATTATCATAAGCCACAGAAGTAGCCCTACCGTCAAACTGATCTTCGCCCTCTGTCATTAGTTCATCATCTGAGCAAATACTCAAAACATTCACCAGCATTTCTGTTACTAAATTAAAAAAAAAGTTTATTACAGGCTGCACAGTTTAAAGTGTTTTATTACTCACAAAATCAGAAGATTAGCTTTGAGTGTATGGGAATGGGACAGAACATGTTACAAAAGGTAAGTTATGTTTCAGTTTTTCATCATAATGCATTTAATGTAAGAACAGGAGTGCTGGTTCTGATCAAAGGCCCATCTGATCCAGTGCTATCTTTCAAACAATGGCAATTTGGAAAGCTTATAAACAGTGAATGAAAGTGTCAGTTTCTCCCTGTATGTGGATAGCACCAATGTATTAATGATGACTGATTACTCTAGCACTCAATAATAAAAGTTGGAAAAAGTTTCTGCTTGATGTATTTATCAACTGGTAAAATCAACAATGCAATGTACAATGTGTGATGTACAATGCCAATATTCAACACATCAAGAAGCTGCCCAGGGACTCCTATAGTCTTGCTCCTTTCTTGAGACAGCAAAACCCAAGTGGCTATCAAACACCTGGCAAACCCTCATATGTAGGCTGCATTTGAGTTGGAGTCCTACAAGTTTTGCAGTCTTGGCTATATGGCACAGACAAGACATCAACAGAAATCATACGTATGATTATTTGAGGGTAATTATGACCACAACACTGGGCAGGTGAATACCATTCATAATATCATATACCTTTCTCTCCAACAAATGGCAATGACCAGGTGAAGACATCCATAAAATTTGGCAACCAATAAGGATGTGGTGAGCAATTGAACTGCCGAATATTCATAACATTATTTTCATATTTCAATACAGCAGCTGCAAAACAGTTACATATATCAGGTGAATTCTTCTCTAATTTCCTATAGTATATTACATACACCCAGAAATTCCGTTTATATTGAACAAGCTCTAATTAATGAAATATGAACCAAATAGTCCCTCATTAAGACATAATACACAATTATGCAAATTCTAATAACTTCATTAGTTCAAATCTTCCAATCCTATTTGAAAGAGCCAGGAATTTGTAAGCATTACTAAAACTAGCAAGCAACAATCAGTTTCCTTCCTCCAAGTAAGATTACTGTATTCTCTTTCAAAGCAGAAACTCTTTCAAAGCAGAAACTGGCGAAGCAGAAAAAACTCCATTAACTATTACAACGGGCTATGCTGGCTAAGGCTGTGGAGAGCTGTAAGGCAAAAACATCTGGATAATGAAGTGCCCAGCCCTGCATTGAAGAGTAGATATTCCAATTTTACAAAATCAAATCGTATCAAATAATTATGAAAGGAATGCTTTGTAATTATTCACTCACCTACCACAGTTACTTAGTTTTTATGTATATCAGAAAAAAAAACCAAAAACCCAAAAACAAGAACTAAAAAGCTAGAGACAAAAACACTGTGGTACCTTAAAAATTAACTGCTATATTTTAATGTGAGCTTTTGTGGACCCCGTCCACTTCCTCAAACCCTTTTATGAATACATTGTCTGAAGATGAACTGATTGTTTTACTTTTGGGCCATTTAGTTTGAAAGAATTTTTATAAATTTTCTTAGCAATTACCCTTACCTTTATTATTGTAAACATCCAAATAATTGGGTGCTGAAAAAATTGTTATTAATGATGGGAACCCTGTTGTTTGACTTTTTCTGTACATTCTGTAACTGTAAAATAAGAACAGTGAAGTTTGCATCACAAGTGAAGCGATTATTCAAAATTTGAACTTCTAAATATTTATCATAAGAGAAGATACTTACCCTGCATCTTGTGCTTCATGAGCTCTGATAATAGATAACAAATTATTATTCTGCAAAAATTCACAAACTGCAGGATAGCTGTGAAACAAAATGTCTGTAAGCATAACTGAAATTGATTTCAATTATTAATTTATCAAGAAGATCCTAATTTATTTTTTACCTATAAAAATAAGAACATCCTCTGACTGTATTGTGACTGAAATGTTCCTGAGATTTTTCATTTCCAAAGTCTTCAGAGGGATCAGACCACAATAAATCACACATTGGTCCAAACGCTGGAGGCTCTTTGAATCGATCTAGCTGTTTAAAAGAGAAGCACCATAGTGATTTTCCTTTTCAATATGTCAATTTTTCCTTTCTCATACATAGTTACATTAAATTACCAAGGAAAAGTAGAAATAATGAATTTAGTTACGAGAGATTTGAACTGAAGACACATTTCCTGGCTACATAACACTTGTTCAGTTCAGTTCAGTAAAAATCAGGAAAAGGAGGTGTGTCCCCAAGTTATATGTATATAAATCCCAAAGCTTCATGGCTGCTGTTGGGGGCCAGGTATAGCTTCTTAGATGGAAATACCTATAGTCCACTAGAGGGCCTGGGGAGGGGAGGGTGCGGCTTCAGTCCTCTCTTCAACTACTGTTTTGGAATTTTTCACTCATCTCTCTAAATAAAGGGCGACCAAACATTCTGATCCCCCTCCTCTCTCCTTCCGCCTTCTTCTGAAACTCAAACAGTTTCTATTTGCATAGGGAAAGCAGGATAACCAGAAGCATTCAGTTGTGTACCCCAAGAATCTTTCTTTGCACATAGCTCACAGTATTAAATTTGCTTCTACCAAGAATACATTTTTTCCTCCACAAGTTTCCCTCTTCCATATGCTCTCCATTTATATGGCTTCTTTTCCCCCACTTTTAAAATTGTTATTCTATCAGCTTATTGTTTTGAAAAAGCATTTAAAATATTTACATACAACCGTACACTTCATATGAGAATTCAGAAAAGTTTAGACCTAATCCTGCCCAAGAATTTATCATTTCTAGATTACCTGCTATTTATTGGGGCAGTCCACATTTTAAATTCATCTATTTATTTATTTCACATATTTCTACCATGCCTTTCAAGAGGCCTAATTTCACAGGGCAGCTTATATGGAGATGAAGAAATATTTGGAACACCTAGATTATTTTTTACTTATTTATGAGCCTTTCTGTCAATTCATGAATGCTTATTTTCCAAAACTGACTATAATTCATTTTACTTCTCAAAAACCAAACACATCAGAGAATCAGGCTACAATCCCATACACACTTATTGAAGGAGCCCCAATAAACTCAGTATGACTCTCTTCTGGGTAGATACTGTACTTATAGGACTATAGAGTAACTTTCTATTTGATGTTTAATAAATGACAATAAAGAATTAGGTTAGCGTGCAAAATGAACACATCAAAGTACCTATACAAATCCCTGCATGCTCCTATCCCTTGATAATAAAAATACTCACCCTCCTAATATCATCAATTGTATTTATTTCTGGAGATAGGCCACCATGGACACAAAGAAACTGTTGGTTCAGAAGTGCAGCAAGAGGGAGGCAATCAAAAGCTTCCATGCAAGCATCATAGACTCTTTCAGAATATTTTATTTTACCTATAGAGGAGTAAAACCCAAATATTTTAATTATATATATTAGACTGAAAAGGCAGGCTTACATTGTAAAAGTAACTGAGCATCACAGTTTGATTTTTTTTTAAAAAAAAACTCTCTTGAAGAACATATTTTGCTTGATAAATATAAGCTGAAATGAATCCAACAAGGTAACACTGTAATAATGTGAAACGGATGCTGCTGCTTCATAAACCAGTGCTACAAATATGTTCACCAAATTACCAGTTTGCTAAAAAAATTCTAACCACCTGGTCAAAAAATTCCTGACTTTCAATCATCTTAAAATTCCATCTCCTATGTCACAATTCCTATTTCTCTATCAAAATGTTAGTGCATGTGTGTGTTTGGAGATAGCAAAGTACTAGAAACCCTTTTAGGATCTGAATATAAGGGCTTGGACAAGACTGTGTATGGTCAGTAACCCTCTCTGTCACATGAACTGGCAGTGATAAAGGATTAAAAATGTGACACGCTTTTCTTACACATGTAAAAGAAGACACCACACCTTATGATCACTTAATTGAACAGTTAAGGTTTTGGAAGGATGTCTTTTAGTGTGAAAAAGAGCTGAATTTTTAGATGTGAAGGTGAGAAATTACTTTTAGATTATGAGTGCTTAGTACTAATATCATGATTGACAGCTTTTTGTGACTGATTTGTAAAATATCTGATCTGTTACCGTATGTTGGGTGCCATGCCATACATTGTACTGTAACACATTTTTACCTTGTAACAAGTCTGTTTAAAAATCCCCCAACAATAGCACTTAAGAATTTGAAATATTTTTTCCAGTAATTTTTTCAGTAATTTCCTATTACACTGTCAAAATGAGTATTTTTCCTCATTTTCCTGATTTTGCATAAAGATTTTGTTTCCAACTCAGGTAATACTGTACTACTGAGTGCTGTCCATGCTGTTAGAATTTAAAGAGAGTTGCCGCCTAGAGTGGTCGCAAGACCAGATGAGCGGGATACAAATAAAATAAATAAATAAATATAAACAAAGTCAAACCATAGGTCAGCCTATCTCTGGCACATGCTAGTGAATAATGCCTTCTGTATATGTATTTTGCAGTCTTTCAGACATGTATACTTCTGCTTATAATAAGGAAGGATATGAGTCTGAAACTTCTAAAAACATTATTATCATTTTAGTCCAGGAAAGATAATAAAGCACATGTTCATTACAATGAAAGCAAAACAAGGCTATTCATGAACACAAGTATTTCTGCTTGGGAGACCTGTTCCTGACATATGCAGAACTGTATAAGGAACTCTGCAAAGAGAAGCAAAAATGGTGATGGGTTATTTGAATTATATACATGTGTGTTGCTTAGCCTATGAGAAGGGTGCCACAAAAGCGACACCTCTTCTGTGATGTAAATATTATTTGCTCTATGTGTATATTGTTTTAGTACATTTTTGCAGCTAAAAGCATAAAGCAGAAGTGCATTTGACCCACGATCAGAATACTGTTTTAAACTCACAGCATTTGCTGCTGCTCGTAACAGGAAAGCCACATTTCTAGATTTCAACACAAGAGTAAGTCAATAGGATATCTGTGAATCTAGTAGCAAAGCTTTTTGCCATCCTGGGCAAAAGACAATGAAGAGATTAATCAGAAAAAATAAATTTCTACTTATTATACTGCTATCTCTTTTCTAGTACTTCTGTGGGCAAGTATGCAAGACAGCCTGGATCTCAGTTCTAGCTAAGTATTACACTTTATGGAATCAGGACCTAGTTAACATTCTAATACAATCAGCATAAACACTAAAAAGAAACAGGCAATAACTAGGGACAGAATCCTGCTGGAAACATCATGTGTACCTGTGCTCAATCAGTCATGCAATGGGCAGCTCACCAATGGGAGAAAACATCTTGTGCAATCACCACTGAGTTCACTCCTTTTTCTAACAGGATTCTGGCCCAGATATCTGGGAAGCAAACATTCAGTTCCATTAATAATACTTACATTCCTGCTTAAAAGTAAAATATTCTGTAAGATGCCTGCATTCATGGTTGCCTCTCAGAAGAAACAATGTGTTTGGGTACAGAATCTTCAGTACCCACAAATATAGTACACACTGTTGAAAAAAAAGAATACCTAGTCATATGTGATTAAATATAACATCATTTTTTAAAAAATTATTAGCAATGAAAATAACAAGTTCAAGTAAATTGTTAGCAGCCATTTCACATTATCTAGTTCTAATTTTATTTTTTCTTCAATCTATTATTTTAGAATATTAATTCGAGAATATGGCAACTTACAATAATATCCAAATTAAAGCAACATATATTAATATTTTATTTAAAATACTCAATATAACATTAAGCAATGGCTGACAAAGATAATATCAAAACAACATACAACCCAATGAACAAGAGAAAATACCAACATGGTAAGGCTATAAAATAAAAATCCATCAATTTTGTGAAAACTTGAGGTAGACAAGTAGTTTTTAATGATCACCTTGCAGAGGCACCATATATTGTACCATATAATTTTTTCCCCACAAATATGGGACAATTGCCAAAAAAATCCTCTCTGTGACCATCTACATAACTGCTTTCATAGATAGGTCTTAGAGGTAGGTCTTAATGCAATTCACTTTTCTTTGGGTTAACAAATGTTCTCTTGACTTCATTTATCAAATAAGTCATTTTCCCTCTCTCTAGGGAATTGTTTATCTAAAACTAGCGATAGTGACTGTGAAAGGAATGACATATTAAAAGACAAATAGAGATCCCAAACCCAGATGTGTTTTCAAATCATTCCATTCAAGTGAGAGCTAGCAGATGGGCACAGTGTGTTTTACCATCATGTCTTATATGTGTCCTCCCCCGGGCCATTCAGAAATTTGTTGGGAGAGTGTACAAAAGTGGGAGCAGAAGTTACAGTGAGTATTGGCAGACAGAGAGAAGGGTTTAGCAGAAAATACACATTGCCTCACTCCTGCATTTGTTGCCTAACTCCTTCATTCATAAGTAGTTCTATAGTGACCAAGGGAGAGTTCAGACATAGTTTGGTTGGCTGAAAGCCACAATGTCAACTATATCTTCGGTTATAAATTCCATACAAAAATTCTCATGCAAGGGGTACAGAAAATTACCATATTTTGGTTAGGCCCTTGTTATATTAATATTACAAAACTAGCCACAATGATTCTGAAAAACAGGCACTGCCCAGTTTTTTAATCAAGCTAATGGCACAGTCTAAGAACCACCAGGGGGACTTGGCCATTGGTATATTCATCCTATTTCTCTAAAGTAAATTAAGCCACCATTGTTTCAGTTAAGATAAGGTGCTGCTTACAATAGAAAGGGGCAACTGCCTTTAATCTAGTTGTGTGGAACTGGAATCCTTGACTTCCTGTAATTGCAGCTTTCAGTTCATTTACAGATATTCTTCCTGCACCAATGCACAAGCAAGCAACATATATCTGAGAGAATACATCCCACTTGTAAGACAGGACATCTATAATGCTGATCTGGTTCAGCAGCTGACCATTGGGTGTTGTTGTTTAGTTGTTAAGTCGTGTCTGATTCTTTGTGACCCCATGGACCAGAGCATGCAAGGCCCTCCTGTCTTCCACTGCCTCAAGAGTTTGGTCACATTCATGCTGGTATCTCTGATGACACTGTCCAACTATCTTGTCCTCTAATGTCCCCTTCTTCTCTTGCCTTCACACTTTCCCAACATCAAGGTCTTTTCCAGGGAGTCTTCTCCTCTCATGAGATGGCCAAAGTACTGGAACCTCAGCTTCAGGATCTGTCCTTCCAGTGAGCACTCAGAGTTGATTTCCTTCAGAATGTTCTCTTTGCAGTCCAGAGGACTTTGCAAGAGTCTCCTCCAGCACCACAATTCAAAAGCATAAATTCTTCGGTGGCCAGCCTTCTTTATGGTCCAGCTCTTACTTCCATACATTGCTACTGGAAAAACTATAGCTTTGGCTATGCGGACTTTTCTTGGCAAGATGATGTCTCTGCTTTTTAAGATGCTGTCTAGATTTGACAGCACATTCCTCCCAAAAAGCAGGCGTCTTTTAATTTTGTGGCTGCTTTCACCATCTGCAGTGATCATGGAGCCCAAGAAAGTAAAATCTGTCACTGCCTCCATATCTTCCCCTTCTATTTGCCAGGAGGTGACGGGACCAGTGGCCATGATCTTAATTTGTTTGATGTTGAGCTTTAGACCATTTTTTGCACTCTCCTCTTTCACCCTCATTAGGGGGTTCTTTAATTCTTCCTTACTTTCTGCCATCAGATTGGTATCATCTGCATATCTGAGGTTGCTGATATTTCTTCTAGCAATCTTAATTCCAGCTTTCGCACGATGTATTCTGCATATAAGTTAAATAAGCAGGGAGACAATATACAGCCTTGTTGTACTCCTTTCCCAATTTTGAACCAATCAGTTGTTCCACATCCAGTTCTAACTGTTGCTTCCTGTCACACATATAGATTATTAAGGAGACAGATAAGGTGGTCAGGCACTCCCATTTCTCTAAGAACTTGCCATCGTTGTTGTGGTCCACACAGTCAAAGGCTTTTGTGTAGTCCATGAAGCACAGACCTGGGCAAAGTACAGCCCAAGGGCCACATACGCCCCTGGAGCCGCTCCTGTCCGGCCCGCGGACAGTTTTGAACATCAAAACCATTTATAGCTTTTTGTCTAAAGTTGATAAGTTGCTTATCTTTAACATACCGCAAAAAAACTATTTAGTATTTGTGAAGATTAGCAAGTTTAAAATAAAAACAATCATAACATCACTGTTTCATTTTATTTTTAAGTAAAGTTGGTTCGGCCCCCGAACACAGTTCAGATTTTTCATGTGGCCCCTCCATAGAAATTAACTGCCCACCCCTGAGTAGTAGATGTTTTTCTGGAACTCTCTGGCTTTCTCCATAATCCAGCGCATGTTAGCAATTTGGTCTCTAGTTCCTCTGCCCCTTCAAAATCCAGCTTGTACTTCTGGGATTTCTCGGTCCACATACTGCTGAAGCCCCCCTTGTAGGATTTTGAGCATCACCTTGCTAGGGTGTGAAATGAGTGCAATTGTATGGTAGTTGGAGCATTCTTTGGCACTGCCCTTCTTTCGGATTGGGATGTAGACTGATCTTTTCCAATCCTCTGACCACTACTGAGTTTTCCAAACTTGCAGGCATATTGAGTGTAGCACCTTAACAGAGTCATCTTTTAAGATTTTTAATAGTTCAACTGGAATGTCATCACCTCCACTGGCCTTGTTGTTAGGCATGCTTTCTAAGGCCCACTTGACATCACTCTCCAGGATGTCTGGCTCAAGGTCAGGACCCCACACTATCTGGGTTTTCCGGGACATCCAGATCTTTCTGGTATAATTCCTCTGTGTATTCTTACCACCTTGATGTCTTCTGCTTCTGTTAGGTCCCTCCCATTTTTGTCCTTTATCATGTCCATCTTTGCACAAAATGTTCCTTTAATATTTCCAATTTTCTTGAAGTGATTTCTGGTTTTTCCCTTTCTATTATTTTCCTCTATATCTTTGCACTGTTCATTTAAGAAGGCCCTCTTGTCTCTCCTTGCTATTCTTTGGAAGGCTGCATTCCGTTTTCTGTAAATTTCTCTATCTCTCTTGCATTTTCTTTCCCTTCTCCTCTCTTCTATTTGTAAGGCCTCGTTGGACAGCCACTTTGCTTTCTTGCATTTCCTTTTCTTTGGGATGGTTTTTGTTGCTGCCTCCTGGACAATGTTACGAGCCTCCATCCATAGTTCTTCAGGTACTCTGTTCACCGAGTCTAGTTCCTTAAATCTGTTCTTTACTTCCACTGTGTATTCATAAGGGAATTGGTTTAGATTATATCTGACTAGCCCAGGGTTTTTTCCTCCTTTCTTCAGTTTAAGCTTGAATTTTGCTATAAGAAGCTGATGATCAGAGCCACAATCAGCTCCAGGTCATGTTTTTGCTGCTTGTATAGAGCTTCTCCATCTTCGGCTGCAGAGAATATAATCAATCTGATTTCGGTATTGCCCATCTTGTCCATGTGTAGAGTCGCCTCTTGTGTTGTTGGAAAAGAGTGTTTGTGATGACCAGCTTGTTATCTTGACAAAACTCTATTAGCCTTTGCCCTGCTTCGTTTTGAAATCCAAGGCCAAACTTACCCGCATGGAAGACAAACAGCATCTTCTCTTATTTGTGCAAGATACAAGGAAATTAAGAAACAGTGGAAGGCTCTCCTATTGCTCAGAAAGGAATCTTGCCTTTTCTTAACTGTTTTGAAAATGTCCAGAGGGCTGCACAGATTAGCTATGTGATATCTTATATGTGAGCCAGCATTCTGGTGAGAAACTGGGGTGTAGGAAGGAGAGCAAATGGAAAAACATTGACACTCTGAATGGAACCCCTCGGATTCAGTGTTTCCTCCAGTGCACCCGGAAATGTAAATATTACCACATTGGACACACACTTCCTCCCTCTCATCATTGAGATTAAAATCAGGAAACACAGTTTCAATTACCTCTATGCTAAAATATCCTCTGTCTACATAATCACCAAGGAACAGGTATCTTGTATTAGCAGGTGATCCTCCCACTTCAAATAGCTTCATTAGGTCAAAGAATTGGCCATGAATGTCACCACACACTGCAATGAAAACTGTGTTAATCAAAGAATCATAGTAAACATCTAGTTTCTGAAAATAAGTCAAATTTGGCACAACATTCTGTCAACCAGAATTTCAGAAAAAGAACCCACTCACAAGCCTTACAGTTTTAGATAACAAAGACTTTCCAACTGAGATTAGTTAGAAGAACCTGCATATTTCATGACATCTCTTTTTTAGGATCTAACCAAATTTTAACTAACAAGATTGGTAATGTCAACAAAATTGTTTATGTGCTAGTGACATACAAATTGTTTAGTGTAGCTCACGATGTTTCCTGAATAGTCCAGTAGCTTTTAAATGTTTTCCCTAAAGGAAAACCAAAGCAACTGAAACTTTCCTAAGCATAAATATTGTACGACTACAAGCAAACCTTCTCTTTATCTCCCCACAAACAAATCCCATTTTCTAGTTTTCCATTTCTCCCTTTTCCACAGCTTTTGCTTCTGATGTCTTTAATATCTTTCTTTTTCCTAATTTCATTCTGTTGACTTTCCAGCTACACTCTGCTGATTCTCCATGCAACTTCCAACTTCCCTTCTTTATTTCCATAAAAAAGTATGGAGTACAGTATTTATATGCCGGTAATATACAGCCTTGGAGGCATTTACCTCTGGCACACAAATATTTCATCCATGTATACCCACCACAATTGATTTTGTGAAATAATGTCCCAAATGTCCCAAAAGCAAGTTTGCTTCCCCACTGACCTTGTTAACTTCTCTGATTCTACAATCAAGTCTAAATCTGTGATTCTTGCTCTCCATTAATGGTAGGGGAGAGAAAATCAGAACCCATTAGAAGGCTAAGTTAACGTACCTATTTGAGTGTGACTATACAGTGAAGTTACTCCCAGCTGCAGCAAGCTTAACAAGGTCACTTGAAAATACAGTCTGAGATTTAGAACAATCCTTTGGTGTTTGGGGACAAGGAGTCACAGAGTCACACTGCACATCAAAGCAACCCTACTCAGCTCATTCCTCTCTCCCAGCCTCCATGCCCCTTCATCCTCTCCTATTTTCTTCTTTGTGAGGAGAAGGGGGATTTTTTTCTTATTATTATTTACTTGTAAGTGACATACCGCTGCATTGCCTTGCCACCTAAGTGAAACAGCACTGGATTGTAAAGAAAAGAAAAATAAATAAATCCTCTTCTATTTCCTCTTCTGTCTCCTCCTCTGTGAGGAGTGGAGGAAAGCTGGACTTTACTTATTTATTTATATTAATTTCTATGTGATATATCACTGCATTGGCTTGCCAACAAAGTGAAACAGGAAGGAAGGGAGGGAGGGAAAGAGGGAGGGAGGAATTGTTCGAGTTTTTATTTTTTTATATTTATTTATTTATTTATATCTTACTATTATCATCCAAACAGGAATCCAGGATTATCTACCTCTTGGTTTAAAATTTAACACCATAGTCTGAAGTAATAACATATTAAAAGCAAAAAAAAAAACCAGTACCACATTTGCTGAGGTACTCATTCGTGTCATATTTTAGCCCTTACTCATCTATTAGCTTTCCAAATTCCACTGTCATCTAATATGGTAAACCTTAATCTATGAAAAATGATAATTCCTTTTATATCCCTCCTACCAACTACTGCATGCTTCAAAATTGGTAAGACTCTGGAAAATATTAGAGAAGGTCTCAGTGTACTCAGATGGCTTGACAAGGTCTTGTCAGAGAAACTGATATATAAAATGAAGCAGCAAAAGGGAATGTAAAAGTGATATATTTGCTTTTGTGTCGTATCTGCTCATTTTATTTGCAAACACAGATTCTCTACCATATGGCCCACTTTCATATCATATGAAATTCTAGAGGAATTTCTTCTGACTTGTTTCTCTCAAAGACTAGACTTTTGTCTGACTCCCATGTTGCTTTTTTTAAAAAATAAAATTTATTATTTTACAAAAATACAAAACAATCAATAAATCCTAGAAATATCCACAGTGGTTTATCATGTATATAATCATGGCCCGAGTCAGACATGACTGGACTTAATTGTCAAGGGGAGCCTTTACTTTTAATCATGAATTGTGTTGTTTCTTCATGCAAGTAAAGTTTTACCTCTATGAATGACAGATACAGATAATCTTCCCCTTCCAGCTCTCCTCTTTTGAAATGTACTGTTCTTCATAAAAAAACATTAAACACCCAAGGTGCCACAAGTATGAGTACAACAAGGATTTGAGCTGGGTTACTTGCACAATTGAACATTTCTGTTTGAAAGGTTGCAAGTAGGAATGAAGTAATCGTAGCCCTGCTCAAAGGCTGCTGTAAACACGGTCTGCATTTCTTTCAGTTCTGTGAGTGCCTCCCTCCCTCTTTGTCCCTTGCTCTAAGGTAAGGAGAAGTGTTAGATACCTTACCCCATGAGGGAACCCAAAATGCAATCCATGGTGGAAAAAATTGTATTGTACATCATTTCCACCGAGAAATAGGCATGCTCATGTCACTGCTGTGAATGCTCCCTCCTCTTTCCTTGCTTCCAGATCCATTAATTTCCCTGTTCTGCTCCAAAATAAGGTTACAAGAGATGACAGGTGCTCGTCAGCTACCAGCAGTCTCTTTTTGCCTTCTCTGAGGCAGAAAGAACATCTGTAACACTTATTTAACACTGAAGATCCTGTTTCACATGGCACTTAAAATGTTTTTTCATCCAAAATATAAGGCATCTCTGTCATCTTCTCCTATCTTGTAAGATACTAGGACTTAGAACAGGTAAAAAAGGAAATGGCAGCTGAGAGTGACTTGTGATAAACAACACTGACAACTTACACAGAACTCAAGAATCCATGAGCATTCAAGTGGTCAAAATATGCAAGTTTGAAAGGATAACTAAGGGCTGAAAAAAGAGATGAAACTCTTTATAAGAAGTCCAGCATGTTTCAAACTTACTTGTCATTCATGAGGAAATTTATAAAAATAGATAATAAAAATTTTAATGCCATAATCCAAAATATTTAGTTCATAACATAAACAGAAGAAGCCAATTCCTGCCATATGACTGAAACGTCTCACAAACACCCAGCCAAGTATTAAAGAAAGTGTTAATTTGTTCAGGTTTTTTAAAAATGTGAACAATATTCCCTGGGGAACATATTAAGAAAAAAAATCATAAAACATTTGATTTTTAATTTGCACCAGTCCTTTTTCAACTTGTTGAAAAACAGAAAACATGATCTAAGATACAAGGTTTCTTCAGGATACCATGGTACATATCATGATGGGAATAAATCTACTGCTAACATATTCCCAAATCACCCTCCTCCAATGCAGTTATGAAGAGACCTAAAATGTATTTTTTACTTCACATTAATAATAATCTGTTGTTCTCCCTCCACCTAACGAACCTCCAATCTTCTCTTTCTCTTTGAACTAGCACAGGACAAAGGAAAGGTGGCATAGGAGCCTGAGATTCACTGCAACTTGATAGGATTAAAATGGTCTAAGATTTGATTGGGGTGCATGACACAATACACAATCATTTCATTAATGAAAAAAATATATAAAGCTTCCATCGCTTAGTTTGAATTCTTTTAGCACTAAGGAACTGCTACTGAAATACTTTTCCAAAGCAACAAAGGATGTACCTGTAATAGGAGCTTCCACTTCAATCATGGTTTTCTCTCTTCTTAGAATTGCAGCACCTTCATTGATGATTCTAAGTGCAATTTCTTCATCTACCCGGCCTTCTTTTATTAGGTGATTCTTCAAAATATCAACCCGAGGTTTTCCAGTTGTATCAAACACTTCTTCTGATGTTAATCGATGAGTTGGTGGAAAGGGGACAGCTGAAAATGGAGAATATAAGTGTGATTTGCAAAAAAAAATTTTTTTTAAATGTCTCAAGTACAATTTTGACCCAATGCTTTTTTTTAAAAAGGGTGGTTAGGTCAAATGTACAGTATATTTAAACTAGTAAAATGAAGGACTGGATATGTGAGCAAGGAGGGATGCTTTTTAATTTATACTGCATTCCTTAAGAGCACAAGAAACATAATTTGTAACATTAATTTTTTAAATTATTCCCATTACTCATTATAGTGCTTAAAAATAATCTATTATCAATAATTGATATGTTACAGAACAAAAATAGAAGTGTGTAATAATTTCATTAAGATACCCAGTGTGTTGTAGTGGATAGAGTGATGGACTAGGACTCGGGAGACCTGGGTTCGAATTCCAACTCAGTTGTGGAAGTTCACTGGAGGTGTAGAACTGGTAAAACTACTCCTTAAACATCTCACTTACCTTGAAAGCTTTATTAGGGTAGCAAAAAGTCACTTCCAACTTGCCAGCACATAACAACAAACAAATTTACTAGGCCCACTAAGATGGCACAGATACTTTCAAGTTCTCTAGAACTCTCCATCAGGCTGGACAGTTCAAAAGTCTGGGGACTGGGGAACAAACAAAAAGACCAAAAATCTAGTCAGGTTTAGTGGCTGTTGTCTTTATGGGCAAGTGATTTAAAAAGATGAGATTTCATATTCAGTGAGAAACAAAGATGTTTCAGAGAGAGACAGTTGCCATTTCCACTGCACTACATAAGACTGGTTATAACTTCAGGAGCTTCCTTCCGGGATCTAACCTTTTTTGGTTTTATAAATTAATAATTTCCTCCAAGGACTGAACTTTTTGTAATCAGAGATTAAATCAGTTACCTGGTTCAGTTCTAGCAGGAAACTGCATTTTAGATAGGCCAAGACATTGACAAGGGAAGGAGGGAACATGCAGACACATGGCTTTTTCTCAGAAAGGTATATCATGAACTTGTTATGACTGAGCTGGGCTTGTGTGTTTCTTCATCAAGTGCACGGGAGCTGTAATATAACAAAGTCTGGAGGACAATGGAATACCCCATTTTATCTGAATTGGACTCTTGTGTGAATGGTTTATTTTTGTAGTTTGCATTGCTCAGAGTGAAAATCAACTACTATGCCCCCAAACTACAGCCCTCCTCCACTTTCATTTTGGAAGACTTCACATATGTTGCTGTGGCACACATTTCTGTGTCTGAAAATCCACATTATTTTTGTTGCAGTTTTCTTCAGAGTTACATCCCTCCCATGACTCTCCTAAACATCTCAGAGCCAAAATGAGAGCATAGTATCTTATTTTAACCCAAAGAAGCCTGTTGGCTGTGAGTTTTAGCAAAGGAACAGGTAAGGGAGAGAGGGAAGGAGAAATTAGCCCTTACTGCCCTGCCCTGTCCTTTTCTGCAAAAATTATTTAGTACATTGTCCTACTAGATCCACTTTTGAAAGTCAAAGTACTGTATTCTTCATGGACAGGAACACCTAATATCAGCTTTGGGTGATAGCTAGTCTGTGACAAGAATAGGCTGGCCACTGTGATCAGTCACTCATAAGACTGATTCACTATGATGCACTCTATGTGAGGCTGCTGCTACAGCTGGTTCAAAAGCTGCAGCAAATGCAGAATACAGCAGTCAGGTTATTAAGTGGTTCTTAACCTTTTTGAAAGAAACGCCCCCTTGGGCCATTGATGAAGTTATCATTGCCCCCCTCCCCACGGCGATATTTAGAAATTTATTTATTCAAGAAAGACACTTAAATCCAATGACTCCTGAAAATAAAATTCAACAGCCAGCCAGCCACAACAGGACAACAAGAAAAGCCGGAAAAGCTGCTGAATTCCCACCCACCCAGGATGGACCCGAGCCAGCCCTGTCCCTAGAAA